GCGGCTGCGGCTGCGGAGTCTACTGCTGCTGCTGCTGAGGCTACGTCTACTGCTGCGGCTGCTCCGGGGCAACAGCCCCGGTCCCCTTGTCTGAACCACCAACTCCGCCCTCATCGCCGCCACCCTCCCCACTAACACCCCCCTTCCCCCGACCTCGCCCCCCTTTCGGGGACACTTCTGCGCGGAGGCCGCAGCAACGGTCTCAGCAACAGCAGCAGAGATGTCAGAGTAAGTGCACTGGGAGGGAGCACAACCCTGAAAGATAGGTACCGCCACAGTACCGCTGGACTGAGCGATACTACGCTGGCGGGTCTCTCTCTCTGACAGGACAGTGACGAAGGCGGTGAGAGTGAGGTCACCCGGATGCTGACTAAGGAAGTGGTCGCGGGCTGTGGCTAGGCGATTAGGGAGGCGCGTGGCAATGAGATAAAGGGTAGCGCAGAACGGCAGCGGGAAGGCAGTAAGCTGTGCCTTAGTGCTAGCAACGCTGTAGCTTGTCTCAAGCATGCGGAGGTGGGTGGCAAAGTCGACGACAGTGCAGAAGGACGCAAGATCAGGGAACAGCATGGGGAGGATCAGGCGATCAGCAGAGGAGGTGGCGGGGGTAGAATAGCAGGCAATGACAGCATCTGGGAAGGCCTGGGCGTTTGCTACAGTGGTGAAGCGAGTATGCTCAGATATCGGGAGCGCACTGCTGATAGCAAGCTGGGCGACAGCGTCGCGCGGGTCCCAGATGACACGCTCAAGCACAGCAGTGGAAAAGGCCTCACGCTCAGCAGAGGTTGGGGCAGCAGGGAGGGCAGCAGGGGCAGGGGGGCGGGGAAGCAGGCCATCGACATGAATAGCCAGGGAGTGACCGTCCTGGCGCTGACCTGTGTGGTGACGCCGGAGGTCGACAAGCCACGACTCAAAGTCGAGCGCTCGACCCTCTGCGTCCAGGCGGAGCTGTGACTCCGCCATCGCCACTGCTGCAACTGCTGACGACCGCTGACAGAGTGAGGAGGACAGGAGTAGGAGGCGGTGGAGGGGGGTGGAGTGCGGTGGAGACAGCCGGAGAGCGGTGGAGAGCGGCGGAGACAGCCGGCAGGGAGGTCGGCACTGAAGGGAGCTAGGGCCGGTGGGACGGCACGGAGGCTCAACAGGCCGGCGGGTGGCTGAGGAGGCTGGGGCCGGTGAAGCTGGAGCCAGTTGGCTGGGCGGCTGGCGGGCCGACCGGCGGACAAGGGCCGACGGGGCGCAGGCAGGGCCAGCGAGGGCGCGAGCGGGCTGGCGGGGCGCTAAGGGGCCGGAGGGGCGCACGGGGCCGAGAGTGCACGAGCGGGCCGGCGGGGCGCTAAAGGGCCGGTGGGATGAGTGGTGCCAGAGAGGCGCACGGGGCCGATAAGGCGCTAATGAGCCGGCAGGGCGCTAACGGGCCAGCGGGGCACTAACGGGGCCGGGAGGCGCTAACAGGGCCAACGGGGCTCGAACGGGGCCGGGAGCGCGCTATCGGACCGGAAGGGCACTAACGGGCCGGCAGGGCGAGCAGGGCCAGAGGAGCGCACGAGGCCGACGGGGTGCTAATGGGCAGGCGGGGCGCAAAGGACCGACGGGGCCGACGGGGCGCTAACGGGCTTACGGGACTAATGGGGCCAGTGGGGTGCACAAGGCCGACGGGGCGCTAAGGGGCGGCTGGGAATGGGCGGCTAAGGCTAGGGTGAGGGCGGAAGCGTGGGTGGGCGGAGAGGACCTAACCTAGCGCGTGATACCATTACAGAGTAGAAAGGTTGACTAGAATGAGACGTACATGTTGATTTTGTTCAAGTGTTATAGCATATTATAGTATATACAAATATGTTTGACACCCATAACCTCCTAGGCATAGAGGTCGGTGGCCCTTCCTTGAGGATCTCAACGACAATCCCAGCGGGTCTCTCGGCAATATCAAAATTGTGCCCTTGCTACTGTTGTCGATTTAACATCAGGCACATGATTATGCATATGGTCGCTCATATGCTATTACCCGTCACTAGGTTCACCAGTGAATCATTTTAAGTGCGACTCCTATGATCCTACATCGTGAATACAAGGCGCATGTCTCTCCATTGTGCCTACCTGCGAATCCGACCGCACGCCGAATCTACCATCGAACAGCAAAATTCCCCATCTAATAGATTTGCGACCAATGAGGCGCTCGCCTCGTTGAGTTTCTCATCGTCTGAAGGAATCGAACTCCCCCCGATAACAAGTGGGTGTCCTTGGCACACATCGAGAAGGTATTACATGCGTCTGTCTAGTTTAGTTTAGTGCTCTTAACTATGACCATACCTTGGAGGGGAAAATAAGTAAGGAAACAACATTTCCTATTTCAGGTTCCAGTTCGTAATTCGTACACCACTATGAAGGGACTTCTGTGTTTTTTTGTCACGTTCATCCATGCCGTGTTTATCCAATATATCCCAAGCCGCATGCGCATTCGTGCGCCCTTCACATTCCGTGCTCGTCGAGTGCACTCCGAGCTCATTTTCCCGCCACATGTTCCTGTTCAAATTATATAAGTTATAATTTAATATAGGCTTGGTAGGTTGTTACTGAACCTTTCTGTAGGGGGTACAAACCCCTCCTTGTACTCCTCTCTCTTCCTAATCCACCTTCCTTCTTCCTCGTCACTTTTGCCTACTCCTAGATCTACTTGCCTCACGCCATTCCATGGCGTCCTTCCTTGCATCCTAGCTAAGCTAGGTTCCTAAGTTTAGTTAGTGTCCTAAGCTTCTTTGAGATGGTATCAGAGCAGGAGATCCTCCCTGTTGGACCGCCTCCTCACGCTTCCGCCATTTACTCCTCACTCTCATTCGCTCGAGCGGCCATGGCGGCCGCGTTTTGCTGCAGTGGCGACGTCGCGCTGCCACTGGCCGCGGCGTGCCGCGACCGGCTCGACGCGCTGTCGCGGAGTCGGGCCGTCGTTCTGCAGCCGCAGCGTCGACGTCCCGCTGCGGCATCGACGCTGCCTCTGCCGTCGCGACGTCGACGTCCTGCTGCAGCTTCGACGTCGCTCTGTGACGGCGCCGTCGGGCCGCAGCCGGTTGCGCGACGTCACGCTGCCACTGGCCGCGTCGTGCCGCGACCGGCTCGACGCGCTGCCATGGAGTCGGGCCGTCGTTCTGCAGTCGCAGCGTCGACGTCCCGCTGCGGCATCGACGCTGCCTCTGCCGTCGCGACGTCGACGTCCTGCTGCAGCGTCGACGTCGCTCTGTGACGGCGCCGTCGGGCCGCAGCCGGTTGCGCGACGCCTGTGACGCCGCCACCGCCCGCACGCCATCACGCCCACGACCTGTCGCGCCACACCGGGGGCTGCTGTCGCCCCGCCCCCTCCCCTCCCCCCCCCCACCTGCACCTGCTTCCCTGCATCCCCCCCTTTCTTGCTGCAGCCGATGACTGCCTCATGAGGGCCCTCTCCACCGCCGAGGAGACTGGACATGCCGCCGAGAGGGCGGGGGCCGCTGCACCGGCCTCTGACGTTCAAGCCGCCGCCGCAGCCGCTGTTGCCGCGGGCCTGGTGTCGCCGCACGCCGCCGACGCCGCTGTTGCCGCGGGCCTGGTGCCGCCGCACGCCGCTGCCGCCGCCGCTGTCGTCACTGTCGCCGCTGCCGCCATTGCCATCTCACGGGCCGTGGGAGCTGCCCTCTTCCGGAGACGTTGCGGCTCCTGCTGGGAATGGGGGTGCTGGGCTAGGGGGTGTGGGTGTGGGGGTGTGAGTGGGCTTGACACTACCAAGCCTAGGGGGTGTGTTCAAATTATATAAGTTATAATTTAATATAGGCTTGGTAGGTTGTTACTGAACCTTTCTGTAGGGGGTACAAACCCCTCCTTGTACTCCTCTCTCTTCCTAATCCACCTTCCTTCTTCCTCGTCACTTTTGCCTACTCCTAGATCTACTTGCCTCACGTCATTCCATGGCGTCCTTCCTTGCATCCTAGCTAAGCTAGGTTCCTAAGTTTAGTTAGTGTCCTAAGCTTCTTTGAGAGTTCCGAGGTCTGCCGAGATTGCCTGCTTGGTTCGTGTCTAGCTAAATCCTAGTTCTGGGTGTTTTTTTTTTTTTTTTTTTTTTTTTTTTTTTTTTTTTTTTTTTTTTTTTGGGTTGTGGAGCAACCTATTGCAATCGATCGGGCTGGTTTTTTTTTTCAAGTTTGTGAAATAAAAATTAAATGTTTTTTGTGATGGAAAAAAAAAATTTTATGTATAATAAAGTCTCATCATGAAATGCTCCGCAACCCTAAGACGATCTCGTCGCCTCTTGTTGTTGTTGTTGTTGTTTTTTTTTTTTTTTTTTTTTTTTTTTTTAAATGTTTCCTACGGTGTAATGCCTTCACTGATGCAACCCTCATTTGCTCATAACACCTAGACATTAGGATCTAAGGGAATAGACGTGGTTCTTTACTAGTGATTCTTTTATAATATCCATTGTTGTGCTTGTATCCTGGCGGTCAGGGGCTGCGCAACACATTCCGAAGGAACCGTTGCAGAATGGAGGGCCAGGATGGCCCCTGTATTTTCTTACTCACGATATCGCAATGGTCGCTGCCAGCCAGTCCCTTTCACCTGTCGTCATACTCGATTGGTCTCCAGGCTAAACCAGCCGTTCGCTGGGCGACGGCAAAACCTGACAGGCGTGGGAAGATGCTTGATTCGCGGTGTCAGAAATTGAACACCGATTGTACCGCGAATCGGCTCGGAATTGGAAACTCAAGGCGCGAAAAAGAGGAAGGTGGAAGCCGCGCAATCGTCGCCCTTGACAGAATACTCCGGCCTGGTCACTCTCCTCCCCCTGCTGATATACCTTTCCGCCTCTCCCTGGTTCTGCTGGCCTGATTTGCCTAGCCTCCTTCCGCTGGTTCCGCAAAAAATCTCGCCCGTTCCGGCTTCCTCTGGTGTCTTCACCTTGCCTCCCTCCATTCGCCCCATCAACCCCTCCGCTGGTTCGTATGCTCAAACTGCACCACTTCCCCACACCATGGTTAGTGGTAGTAACCAGTTCCTCCCTTCGCCTAGTTTCATCCCCATTCCCAAATTGTGTCATCCGTTTGTGGTTTCCTTGGCCCATCTCTAGTAATTTGCTTTGTCTGAGATTGTCTCAACGCCTTTCACTTGCAAGTAATGATACATACAGTTAGTATCTTTCCCTTGTAAGACTGTTGTCGTGGAGTACACTTCATGGCTAGCACCTCGGAACGATTAGGCGGTTCGTCGAGTTCGGATCAGGTTGTGAAATGGTTAGAGGGTAGTGGCCTAGGAAAGTATGCTAGCCAGTTCGTTGCTCTTGGCATTGGGGGAGATGGCTTCCGTAAGCTCCTTATGCAGGTAATGCTTGAGTAGGTACGAGTAATTTAACAGTTTTTTGGAAATCTGTAGAAGACAGGCATCTAGAGTAGTATTCTGACCATCATTGCCTTTCGTTCGGACTCCTGTTGTCAGGACTACGAGAAGTGTGGCGTTTCCAAATTTGAAGACAAGCGAAAGCTCTTTCAGCTGATTAAGCAGCTCAATTCTAGCGATGAGGTCCGCACGAGCATGGGAAAGAACCGCGACAGCCAGCAGGAGACTAGGCCAGCAGCTCCTCCCCAAAGGCCCGCGGTCGCCGCTCCTGCCAAGTGCACAAAGATTATTGACGTCCTAGGAATGGACGATGTGGAGCTGCTAACCGACGTGAGTGTCCGAGTGCCTTCGTTCTAGCAATTGTTTAAAGGTGATCACATGCTAAACGGAGGCATTCTTCACTCTGTGCAGGGGCTTGATGAACCTATTGAAACAGAGCCGCCGAAAGCTCCACGTCTTACTGCTCCGCAGAGTGCTGTTTCCAGCCGAGCAACATCTCCAGTCAGACCAGACCGAGCGTTTATGCTTCACAGCGTATCAGTCCCTGCTTCTCCAGAGAAGTTCTCCACAAATCCGCCTCCGAACTTAGCCTCGTCTCTTCCCAAGATTCCCGGTCTTGATGCAGTGGCGGAGACAGCTCCACGGGTCTCGAATCCAGCTCGGATCAAAGTTGTGGTGAGTCATGATGGTTTAGTGCCTCTTCAATGCTTCAGCGCGTCTTCAATACTTCAGCGCTTTCTTAGAATATTCTCACTCGTGTCCTGCGCCTTCCTGGCTGCAGGTTCGGAAGCGACCCATCAACAAGAAAGAGCGTATGCGGAAGGAGCATGACGTTATATATATTGATGAACCGAGGATCCTGACCGTTCGCGAGCCAAAAGTGAAGGTGACCTTTCGTGATTTCTGCAAATGAGTTATTGTTAGTCGTTGGGGAACTGAGGTTAACGTTGTGCTCTGTTACTTCGCCAGGTCGACCTGACGGCGTACGAGGAAACGCACAAGTTCGTCTTCGACGCTGTGCTGGACGAAACAGTGACTAACGACGAGGTTCGCATCACAATCGACTCACAGCGACAAGTTATTTGTTTTGTGTGATTCGCAAGTCTAATTGGTCTGCATGTGCAGGTCTATCGTGAAACTGTGGAGCCAATTGTTCCTACGATTTTCATGCGAACCAAAGCGACTTGCTTCGCATATGGTCAAACTGGTAAGTACTGGCATACCTTCCGCTGGATCTACTCTGTCGTTGTGCTGCTGTGGAGCTGACCCCATGGTTCGTCGTGGTTGGACTGGATGCTTGCAGGGAGTGGAAAGACCTTCACCATGCAGCCGTTGCCACTGAGGGCTGCACAGGACATGCTGAACATCATCAACCTGGAGCGCAACAAAGACTCGAATTTCCATTTGTGGATTAGCTTCTTCGAGATCTATGGCGGCAAGCTCTTCGACTTGCTGAATGACCGAGCGTAGGTGCCCCTTATCAGAATGTGCAAAGTTGGAGATTAGTTTGGGTTGCAAGTAGAACTAACATTTTCCTTGTGTGAAATGCAGAAAGCTGCAAATGCGCGAGGATGGGAGGCAGCAAGTTTGCATTGTCGGCTTGAAGGAGGTCGACGTCGTATCTGTCGACACTCTCTACGAGCTGATATCGAGGGGAAACTCCGCAAGAAGCACTGGCACGACCGGCGCAAACGAGGAGTCGTCACGAAGTCATGCCATTCTCCAGATGGTTATCAGGCAGAAAATCCAGCCTGACAAGACGCAGGCGCGACGAGCCAGGAGGTCCCTTGGAGGCGCGGATAACGAGAAGGACAACATGGGGAAGCTCGTGGGCAAGTTCTCGTTCATCGACCTCGCTGGCAGTGAAAGAGGCGCGGACACTACGGATAACGATAAGCAGACCAGGTGAGCTTGTTCAGGGGGCTCTACTGACGGCTTCTGATGTTTTTAAACTGTCGTTTTCTAACTAAAGAATGTGCTCGGTTTTCCTTGGTCAGGATGGAAGGAGCGGAGATTAACAAGAGCCTTTTGGCTTTGAAGGAGTGCATTCGCGCGCTTGACATGGAGCAGAACCACATTCCATTCCGTGGTAGCAAGTTGACTGAAGTGTTGCGTGACTCCTTCGTGGGCAACTCTCGAACGGTGATGGTGTCTTGCATTTCGCCAGGATCAGCTTCAGTTGAGCACACCCTGAACACCCTGCGTTATGCTGACCGGTGAGTACCACCATTCCACTACCATATGAGAGTGAGTGGCTTCCAGAGTCTACTTCACTAACAGTGACTTGCTATTCCACTGACAGGGTCAAGAGCCTTTCAAAGGGCAACAAGAAGGATAGTGGAAGCTCCTCCATTCCCACCTCCATGGTTGCATCGAAGAGCTCGACAACTACTGGCAGGTTGCAGCAGCCGGCCCCAGTCTACTTCCCTGAGCCATTCGGTGACGAGTCGAGCTCAGCAACTGAGAAGCGCCCAAGATATGACAACCTCCCCAGAGTTGCCTCTGCCTCTGACCCTGGTCGTTTCAGTATGGGAGGCCGGCCATCTGCAGTGGAGGGTGGGAGTTTCAAGGAGAAGAATGCCAGCAAGCTAGTTGAGGAGATTGTGGATGACATGGAGCTGGACAACGACAGTGCTGAAGTGGTTGGAACCCTGCTCGCTGATCTGGAAGAAGGTGTAAGCTCCATGTATAGCCTTTGCGGGGAGGTTGAGCAGTCTTGCATCCCGTCAGGATCTTCCATGGAGGGCTTTGATCCAATGCAGTCGGGCAAAGACCCTAAAATGCTAGGTGCAAGTGAGTCAACCTTCCTCTCCAGCTTCGCCAAGTCATCTCTTCCAACCACTAGGCCCTTCCGCTCAACCTTAGGCTGGTCTGCAGGGTCTACTTCCAGGGGTTCGGCTGAAGCCTCAGCTGCTTCAGGAGGCCGTGCTGCTGCTGCAGCAGGCAGGGAAGGAAACAATTCGAGGCTCCTTCGCCGGACCTCGTCCATTCCATCTGCTCCTTCTGTGGCAGATAAGGTTTCCGAGGCTAACCAAAGTGCTGATGAGCTCCTGACAGGCTCCTCTTCCTCGGAGGATGATGTACGCAAGACGGCTGAGGTGCCACTAGCACGCAGGAAGCAGCCTCCAAGGAAAGCCAAAGCTGATGGAAGGTTGCAGCGACAGGAAGAACCTGAGGTGTCAGAGTCGTCAAGCGAGCTCATACAAGGGTCTGCATCCGATCCACTTGCTTTGGAACACAAGCCTTCCCCAGTAAGTTCTTCTGCTGTGTCTACGACCGTAATGAGGTCACTACGATTTTACTTTGCTAACCACGTTTCCGTGGAATGTTTTGCAGGAGGTGGCACATATCATTTCACTGCATGAGAAGCTTGTCACTCAGTACTCGGCCTTGGAACAACGGGTAATTCCTGACTGCTAGATGTCCCTGTATGCCTATTCTGATGGCAAAGTTCTGTGACTGATGTACCATCTGTGCTGTTTGTTTGGGCAGGAAATGAAGCTCCTGGATCAAATTAGAGCAGGCAAGGGAAGCGTTGATGTTTACCTTCTGGAGACAGGAAGGATTGTTGCTGACAAAATGTCCAGCCTCGCACAGCTGCAGGCTGAGATTGCGAAGTTCCAGTTCACCAGGAGATAAAGTGCTCATGCGGTATTGTAGGTTTGATACTGGAGTTCTCTGGCATGACTGTTCTCTTTCGTAAGTTCACCCCTTTTCATCCTTCCGGCCCTAGTATTGTGAAAACCAGTATCTCCTATTAAACAGTGAAATTGATGATTAGAGAGAGAGAGTACACAAACATATACCTAACTGTTGTACTCTCTAGAAGATGACCCTATAAGTCTATACAAGCATGATAACTAAACATGTTTGACACACCCCCTGGACTGCATAGGGGAATGTTCTAGACAAGCAGCTCAGGGCGGCACTACTAGTCCAGCCTCTGAGACAAGGGTCTAAAAGACCAGTCAGAAGGAGTACAGGCAAGGCAAGAACTAGTACAGGGCGGCACTACTAGTCCAACCACTGTAAGAGGACACAAGTCCAGTCTGAGTGTACACACAGATATATAGGACAGTACAGAGTCAAGGCCCGAGTAAGTGAGAGACTACAGGAACCAGACCAAGCTGTACACAGTGCCGCTGATGATCTTTAGGCGCAAGCGCCTTCGTAAAGATATCAGCTGTGTTGGCACCGGAGGCTAAGTGTACTACGCGAGCCTGGCGACGCTGCTGTAGCTCACGCAGGAGGAAGTACCGCAGCTGGATGTGCTTCGCTCTGCCCTCGAGTCGAGGCTCCTGACACAGGAGGATCATGGCCCTGTTGTCAGCGTACAGGACCGGGGCAGAGCTAGGCCGCTCACCTAAGTCAGTGAGCAAGAAGGTCAGCCAGCGGAGCTCCTGTGCCGCCATGGCACCGGCGTGGATCTCGGCCTCACAGCTGGACTGGGCAACAGACGAAGAGCGGGTAGCTCTCCACGAGACAGCACCTGAACCAAGGCTAAAGCAGTAGCCCTGGGAAGACCTGAGCGTCTCGGCGTCGTCTGCCCAAGAAGCGTCTGTGTGTCCAGTAAGGACCACTGGCCTGCGTCCGCCTAGCACTAACCCCATGCCCGATGTACTTGCAAGATAACGCAAAACCCTCTTAGCGGCAGACCAGTGCTGAGGTCGGTGCCTGCCTGTGGCCACGAAACGAGCCAGGATGCTGAGAGGGTATGCGAGATCTGGGCGAGTGCAAGTCATCAGGTACATGAGGCAACCCACTAGCTCAGCGTAAGGACCACTGGGATCTACCGACTCCTCAGGAACTGGAGCGGAGAGTCTGTGGTCCAGAGGAAGAGGGGTGGGCTGTGCGGAGGAGAACGGAAGGCCGAACCTCTGAAGGACCTGGCGCACCAAGTGTGACTGAGTCAGGGTGATGGTGCGCGCGGCTCTGTCCCTGGAGATCTGCAAGCCAAGGTAACGGCGCAGCTCTCCAAGGTCAGTGCAGGTGTGTCTCTTCAGCAGCTCTGCCTTCACGAAGGCCAGTGCGTCCCTGTCAGCAGTGGCAAAGACCAGGTCGTCTACGTAGACGAGGATGTAGAACGGAGTCGAGCCAGCACGAACGAAGAGCGAGGGGTCTGCAGAGGACGGAAAGAACTGCAGGTCAGCAAGGGTAGCACGCAAAGTGTCGTGCCACTCACGAGGCGCCTGGCGCAGGCCGTAGACTGGCCGCCGCAGAAGCCACTGGGTCCCAGGGGGGAAGGTGCCAGTAAAGCCCTGAGGGCGACGCAGGTAGACCTGCTCGTGAAGGCTGCCCTGAAGAAAGGCAGTGGAGAAGTCGAGGGAGTGAAGCTCGTAGTCACGCTGAGCCGCTACGTGTAGCAGCACCCGAAGAGTAGTCATCTTCGGGGTAGGAGCGAAAGTCTGAAAGAAGTCCACCCCCTCGCGCTGACTGAAGCCTCTAGCCACGTAGCGCGCCTTGAACACAGGCGGCTCTCCAGGAGGGCGCTTCACCTTGAAGAGCCAACGGCCATCGACCACGTTCACCCCAGGTGGGGGAACTGCGTCGACGAAGGTGCCGGTGGATCTCCAAGATGCCATCTCCTGCTCCATGGCAGCTATCCACTGAGAGGCCCAGGGTCCCGAAACCGCCTCAGCGTAAGTACGAGGGGTCGGGATGTCAAAAGCGTCTGGGTCACCCTCAGGGACTAGCAGCATGGAACAGAGATGGGGAGCAGCCTCGGACAGGAAAGCAAGCTCAAACTGGCGGTCCTCCAGGACGTCACTGCCGAGGGCAGGAGCACCCCCGACAGACGGAGGACAGGCAGGGTGAGAGACCAGAGCGGTGGCGTAGTCAAGGCGGCGGGTAGAGGCGAAGTCAGCGACCGCAGCGACGAGGGCGTCAAGACTCGACACGGGAACAGACGGGTCGGTAACGAGAGAGGCAAGGACCCGAGGAACAAGAGGACGAGCGGCACGAAAGGAGTCGGACAGAGGAGGAGACGCAACGACAAGAGAAGACGGAGGAGGAGACGGGAGGAGGGGAGGTCGAGACGCGTGGGAACGGAGCAACATAGGGTGAGAGCGCGGGACAGGGGAGACAGGACGAGCACGAGAGGGGCGGCGAGACCAGACGTGTGAGGGCGGCGTCGGATCAGGAGACAGAGGAGGGGACACAGGAGGGGAACGAGGGGGAAGACGAGCCGGGGACGAGTCTGGCAGAGGGAACACGGGGCCGTAGACGGGAAGAGGGGGAGACGGCAGGAGAGGAACAGGCGCAGGGTCAGGAGACGGAAGGCCGAGCAGACGGAGGGCGGACACAGGCGGGGACTGCTGCTGCGGCGACACAACACCAACACCAGGGCCACAAGCTGCGCGACGGCTACCTCCCGAACCCTCCACACCTGCACCCCCAGAAGGGACACCCCCAGAGTCCACAAACGGCGGCAGCGACGACAGCGGCGGCGGCGGCGGCGGCTGCAGCGACGGCTGCGACGGCGGCGGCGGCGGAGACGACGGCTGCAACGGCGGCGGCGGTGGAGACGACGGCTGCAGCAGCTGCGGCGATGGCGGCTGCGGAGGCGGTGGAGGAGGAGACACCGGGGGAGGGACAGACGGCGAGGACTGCGCCGGAGGACTACCAGAGTCAGAAGACTCGTCGACCGGGACGACCGACGGGAGGGGGGTGACGTGAGACACACCAGAGGGGGCCGGACGGGGGGGCGGGGGGGGGGAGGGGCAGGGACCACCAGGGAGGGAGGAACCAGGAAAAGGGGGGGAGTAACCGGGGGACCACGGTGGGGAAAGCGGCGGTAGAAGGAGACGGACTCGTCAAAGGTGACGTCGCGAGAGTGAAAGAAGCGGTGAGACGGCGGGTGGTAGAAGTGCCAGTCGGACGCGTCAAGGGGGAAACCGAGGAAGACGCAGGGGAGGGTGCGGGCAGTGAGCTTGTCCGTGCCAGAGGCACGAACGTGAGCAAGGCAGCCCCAGACGCGGAACGCAGACGCGTCACCAGGGGACCCAGTCCACAGAAGGGTCGGCGAAACCTGCGGCCGCTGGGGGTGCGGCCACAGGTTAAGCTGGTGAGCGGCGTAGCGCACAGCGAACGGCCACAGAAAATGGGGTGCACCGGCGTGGATCATGGAGGTGCGAGCCACCTCCATGACCAAACCGATGCGTCGCTCAGCGACCCCATTCTGCTGCGGGGAGTCCGGCAGGGTAAACGTCTGGGTGATGCCCTCCGCACGACAGAAGCGACCAAGGACACCTGAGGCAAACTCGCCACCCCGGTCGGAGTGAAGGCGCAAGGCAGGGAGACCGCGGTGGACACGAGCAGAGACAAGCCAGGGGATGAGAACGTCAGGCACGTCGGCCTTCCGCTCCAGGGGGAAGACGGTGGTGTAGCGCGTGAAGTCGTCGACAAGCACTAGGAAGAAGCGCTCGCGACGCGGCCCATGGACCGGGGCTGGGCCCCAGACGTCCATGTGCAGAGTCTGCAGTGGTGCGGTGGTAGGGGGAAAAGAGGAGGAGTGAGGGCACGGCGGAGCCGGCCCTCGACACAAGGCGTGCACGGTGGGGCGGGGGAGGAGGGAAACTCGGGGAACGAACCGGGGAGACCAAGGACGAGACCGTGCTGGGACATGTGACGCAGACGTGGGAGTGCAGGGTGACCAAGGCGGTGGTGCCAAAGGAGAGTCGGGTGAGTGAGGGACCGACAGGAGCACGCGGCTGCAACCTGGGTGGACGCAGCTACCGGGGGGGAAGACCCAGCCGGGGACGGCGCGGTGTCAAGTGTGAACAGGCCGGACACCGGGTCCCGGGGGAAAGTGGTAAGGGGGGCACCAGTGGCGGCCTCGGTACAGACAGCATACCGCTCGTGACCAGGGAACGTAGTGGTGACGCCAAGGTCCTGGAGGCAGCCGACACCAACTAGGTTCCTGGAGAACGAGGGGATATGCAGACCTGTGAGAGTGCCCGAAGGAACCGCCGGACAGGGAAGGGAGGTGGAACTGCGGGCAACGACGGGACCACCGGAGGGGTCAGCAAGAGTAACTGCAGCGGGAACAGGCAGCGGCGTCAGCGTCGTGGAGTCGCGGAAGAAACACCGGGAGGCGCCAGAGTCCAAGGTGAAGGAAAGCGCAGCAGTCACGCGAGGCAGCAGTGAAGCGGTGGAAGCACCAAGGCTAAGCAAAGCAGGAGATCCTACGCCTGACGCAGCAGGGGAGTCTACGCTAGGCACCGCTACACTAGGCAACACGGGGTAATAAGAGGGAAGCACACTAGAGTCATCAGCATACATCACATGCAAGGCCGCTACAATGGCATCCATGTCCAAGTCAAAAATCCTAATGCTACGCCTAAGCAAGCTGTGCCAGTCCGGGAGGTCGGGCGCCGGGCCAAAGCGCTGGCGGAACAGGTCGTCCAGGCGACGAAAACAGCGAGGAGTAGAATGACCGATCTTACCGCAAACGAAGCCGCGGCGAGGACCGGTCTGGATCTGGTACTGACAGGGCCCGCCTCCAGAACCACCACCCGGTGCACCACCACGCGCACGACCACCACCAGCTCCAGGCCACCCAGGTGGGAGAGTACTCGCCTGCCTCGTCTGCGGCGGCTGCTGCGGCTGCTGCGAAGGCTGCGGCTGCGGCGACTGCTGCTGCTGCGGCTGCTGCAACTGTGGAGGCAGCGGGGCAGCTGGACCGGGCAGGGTCCCCACGTCCGCACCGGCACCGGACGACCCGCCTCCACCACTACCCCCACCCGCACCCCCGCCGCCTCCGCCGCTCCCAACCTTGGGGCGGCGGCCCTTCGCCGAGCGGGACTGCACTGCAGCAGCAGTCTCAGCCACAGCGACAGAGCCGTCGGAGAAGGTACACTGAGCGGGGGCACAACCCTGAAAGATAGGGACCGGTACTGTACCGCTCGCCAGGGCTATGGAGCGGTGACGAGTCTCTATGGCAGTCAGGGTGTCAACAAAGTCGGTGAGGGTGAGAGCAGCAGGGTGGATGCTAAGGAACTGGTCGCGGGCGGCGGCAAGGCGGTCAGGTAGGCGGGTGGCAAGGAGGTAGAGGGTAGAGGTCATGGGAGGCTGGTGGACTCTAAGCTGAGCATCAGTGCAGGCAGCGCGCCAGGCCTCATCTATCGAGCGCAGGTGGGCAGCGAGGTCAGAGACAGTGGGGAAAGACGCCAGGTCAGGAAAGAGCAGGGGAAGGATCAGGCGACCCACTGAGGCAGCAGGAGGGGTAGAATAGCGCTTGATGACAGCATCGAGGTAGGCCTGGGCGGTAGGAATGGTTCTAAAGCGAGGGCGCTCAGTGGGGGGGAGGGCATTGCTAATGGCGAGCTGAGCAAGGGCATCGCGGGAAAGCCAGACAGAGCGGGCAAGGGCAGCAGCGGCAGTGGACTCGCGCTCAGCGGGCGTGGGATCAGCGGGCAGCACAGCAGGGGGGTCAGGGCAGGGGAGCATACCGTCTAGGTGTGCAGAAAGCGGGTGGCCGTCCTGCCGCTGGCCAGTGAGGTGGCGGCGAAGGTCAGCCAACCACGCCTCGAACTCCAGAGGCTGACCCTCAACATCAAAACGAAGCTCAGCAGCCATGAGGGGCAGTGGAGGACAGTGCAGTGCGGTGCAGTGCGATGCAGTGCGGTGCAGTGCGGTCCAGTGCGGTGCAGTGCGATGCAGTGCGGTGCAGTGCGGTCCAGTGCGGTGCAGTGCGGTCAGTGCGATCCAGTGAGGTGCAATGCGATGCAAGGCGGGGCAGGAAAGTGCAGGAGGGTGCAAAGTGGTGCAGGGAACGGGGGACAGTACCAGGAAGTATGGAGGGCCGGGGCAGGTGCGTCGGGGCCGGGCAGGCCCGACAAGGCCGGGCGGCGGCGACGGGGCCGGGCGGCGGCGACGGGGCCGGGCGGCAGCGACAAGGCCGGGCGGCTTCGACGGGGCCGGGCGGCTGCGACGGGGCCGGGCGGCAGGGACGAGGCCGGGCCGGACACAGCAGGGCCGGGCAGGGGCGACGGGGCCGGGCGGCTGCGACGTGGCCGGGCGGCTGCGACGGGGCCGGGCGGCTGCGACGGGGCCGGGCGGCGGCGACGGGGCCGGGCGGCAGGGACGGGGCCCGGGCAGGCCACAGCAGGGCCGGGCAGGGGCGACGGGGCCGGGCGGGCGAGCAGGGGCCGGGCAGGTGCGACAGGGGCCGGGCAGGTGCGACAGGGGCCGGGCGGGCGCCACGCGGCCGATAGGCCGCGACGGGGCCGAGCAGGGGCGACGGGGCCGAGCAGGGGCGACGGGGATGGGTAGGGGCGCGACGGGGCCTGGAGGGGCGTTACCAAGCCCAGGTAGGGGCGCGACGGGGCCTGGGGGGAGCGCAATGGGGCCCAGGAGGGGCGCTACGGGGCCTGGGAGGAGCGCGACTGGGCTAGGGAGGGGCGCGACGGGGCCTGGAAGGAGCGCAATGGGGCCCAGGAGGGGCGCTACGGGGCCTGGGAGGAGCGCGACGGGGCCCTGGAGGGGCGCTACCAGGCCTTGGAAGGGGCGCGACGGGGCCTGGAGGGGCGCTACGAAGCCCTGAAAGGGGCGCGACGGGGCCTGGAGGGGCGCTACGAAGCCCTGGAAGGGGCGCGACGGGGCCTGGGAGGAGCGCAATGGGGCCCAGGAGGGGCGCTACGAGGCCTGGGAGGAGCGCGACAGGGGCCCAGAAAGGGGCGCAACGGGGCCCAGGAAGGGGCGCGACGGGGCTAGGGAGGGTCGCGACGGGGCTAGGGAGGGTCGCGACGGGGCGAGGAGCACGACGGGGCCCAGCTAGGGGGCGAGCGGAAGCGTGAGGGGGGGGGGGGGGGATCCTACCTACGCGTGATACCATATTAAACAGTGAAATTGATGATTAGAGAGAGAGAGTACACAAACATATACCTAACTGTTGTACTCTCTAGAAGATGACCCTATACAGTCTATACAAGCATGATAACTAAACATGTTTGACATCTCCCTCCTGTACTTGGACAGTTTGGCAGGCATTTGGCCCATTTGACTGTTCAGGTGTACACCTCCTGTGGACTATGCAATGATGACAATTGGACTCACCCAGTCAGCCGTAACGTTTAGTCATAGAATTGCTTTGAATAATGGAGCCGGTTCCCAGTCACCAGACACATGTATCCCAGAGTGCACTATCTAAGACTCCAGTAAGACGCAAAGCTGGCTGATGCATACCAAAGAATGGCTGCTGCTTCAACTCATCGGCTGATGCCTAGCCTCCTTGGCCCTGGTCTTAGCTGCTGCCACGCGCTTCTTTTTGCGCAACAGCATCCATGCAGCATGCCGTGCGCTGCCAACCTGCTTCATCGTGGCGTCACTGCTCCCTTTTACCCTTCTCGCCAAACGCCTTTGACTGCCATTCTCACTTCTCCCAACAGCAGTACCATGCTTACTCCCATCCACAACCGCACTGGAGTGCATATCCCTATTACCGGCAGCATCAGCAGCAGCAGTAACACCAGCAAAGAATCCTGCAGCTGTGGCAGCACTGCGATCTTCAGGCAAAGAATCCTGCTTGTGAACGCCTTGGCTGTCATCCTCTTTACTAAGGCTCGCCAGCCGATCATCCGACCCATCTACCGACTTATTGGGCAAATCACCATCAACACTGTCCATGTCGTCATCGAGGTCTGCCTGCACCGGCCGCTTCTTCCCCTTCTTCCGCTTCCTCATGTGCATGAGCTCCTTATACTCACGCTTCATCTCGTCCTCCTCATCCTCCTGCCGTGCTCTTCTCACCGCTCGCGCCCCAACAGATTTCAGAGCGGCAACGTCAACCCGTGCTGTGCTTCCCTTGGCTGCTTGATCCTTGCCCTGCTGCTGCCGCTGCTGATTTCCAGGCTTGGAAGGTCTCTCCCCCTTCTGAGGGTTTTCAGACCCCTCCTGCTGCTGCTTCAGGTATTGCTGTCTCTGCTTCTCCCGATTCTTATCCCTGCAGGGCCAGTCCAAATGGGAAGAGGATGTTCGGGGCGCCTCAGAAAGGTTACAAAGCTGATTTTGAAAGGAGCCGTTACACGTGTGCATGGGTTGAAGCAGTAGCGTGCTTGCTACTTAGGAGGATGCCAAAGCGGAGGGAGGGGGGAGGGGGGAAGCACTTGTTATGTAGGGTAATAGAAAGTCTCAAGAGCTTCCATATTGCAGCGCACTATGGTTTAAAGCAACATGTCACATGCGTTCGCATTTAGTGCCAAGGACCAAAATAATCTCCAGCCACTGGCTCCAGCAGCAGCTTTTTTGAAAGGGCTTGGTACTTTCGAGCGTGAAGGACTAACCTGAAATCAAAAGGCTTGCTTGCATTTGGAGCACTCACTTGTATGTTAGCGTGGAGACGTCCACAGTGTTGTCGGGCTCGAACCCGTCAAAGAGGCGTGGATGGTGGCGGGTTTCAGGCATGCGAGGGATCTTGAGAATACCGTACGACATGGCCACTGCTCCCATCTCCAGCTCTTGGAACCTGGAGGATGGAAGGCGATGGGAGGGTCCATTTTAGAGGCGCCTCAGAGGTAGACTCCTCATGTGAGATTGCCATAAAAGGACATGGCGGATGGAAGGACATGAAAGGACTACTCTCAACCTGGAGGATGGAAGGACATGAAAGGACTACTCTCAACCTGGAGGATGGAAGGACATGAAAGGACTACTCTCAACCTGGAGGATGGAAGGACATGAAAGGCTTCAGGAGAGAGAAGGAATTTTGGGTGAGGTGGTGGGGGAACCGTGGGGGGGGGGGGGGGGGGAGGGGAAGGAGATGGGGACAGGGTTGAAGAGTGAATGAAGCGAAGTTTATTTTTGAGGCGCCTCAAAAGTGAAGTGCGAAAGAATATGCAGGGAGTGCGAGGTGTGGGGGTCAATTGTGCGTTAGTGATCACTGTGTAGGGTTCAAAATTGAAATTAAAAAGTAAGCTCGTGAGTGAGAGCCAGCGAAAGAAAAGCGGGATGGATGGAGGGGAAAGGGCTGGGGTGGGGGAAGGAGGGGAGTGGTGGGGGGAAGAAGGGGGGTGCTTGAATGTGCTTGTGCATCAAGGGCACCTGAAGATGTAGTTGCAGTGGTGCTCCTTGTACCCCCGCACAAACGACACAAACGCTCGCACAGCTTTCTCCACCACTGCACGATCCTTCCGCGAAGCTTCCCGCAACTGCCACGCATGCATACATGAAGTTCCAACACCGTTTATGACACATCACCATGAGCCCTTGACATGCACTCAGCTCAGTGGCACTGGAACCGGGACGATGCTCAAAGCAGGAAGGTAGCAACTGTGGAAGGGGAGGTGGCAACTGAGGAATGGGAGGTGGCAACTGTGGAATGGGAGGTGGCAACTGGAAAATGGGAGGTGGCAACAATATCACCTGAGGAACGACGTCAATAGCATCGGCAGCAGCAGGCTCCAGCACCACCGGCACTCCCTGCAGCCGTAGATACTCCGTGTATGAATCCTCCTGGGAGGGAGGATATGAGACGAGAGAGAGACTGTTGGTTTGAGAGAGAACAGGGGGGGGGGACGAAGGCGTGCTAATAAAGTGGTTGCAGCAACGGGTGGTAACAGACCGAGATGGTTACGTTACGATTCCCCCTCACTCCCGTCCGTACCCTCACTCACTCCCCTCACACCCTCCCCTCAACTGGTCCCCCTCCCAGCAGCCATATCTGCTCATCCTGCTTCTGCCCTTCCCTCCCTCTCAAACCACCCCTTGCCCATTCAGTTTTTGAGAGTTCTCAAAAACAAAGTTCATCCCTATGCCCATCCTCCCTCTATCCATTTCCCATTGCATTTTTTTGGCGCCTCAAAAATAGACTCCACGCATTTTTGAGGCGCCTCAAATTTTTTGAGGCGACTCAAAAGCAAAGTTCATCCCTATGCCCATCCTCCCTCTATCCATTCCCCATTCCAAACCTAACTCCCTCCCTCCTTCCAGCCCCCGTCCCTTCCCCTTTCCCCGTCTCCCCCCTATTCCCCGCCTCCCAACTTTTCCCCCATCTCCCCGTTTTCCACGTCTCCCTCCCCCTTTTCCCCGTCTCCCCACTTTTCCCCCTTCTTTTCCCCCTTTTCCCCCTTTTCCCCCTCTCCCCCTTCCCCCCACCTTGGGCAGCAGCCACACAAGCGCGGAGCCCTGTCTCCCCATACGCGCAGTGCGCCCTGCGCGGTGCACAAACGCCTTGGGGTCCTGCGGGGGGTCGTACTGCAGAATGCACTCCACGCCAGCTATGTCCAGCCCGCGCGCCGCCACGTCCGTGCAGATCAAGACCCCCTTGGAGGCCTTTCGGAAGGCTGCGATCGCTGCATCGCGCTTCGACTGTGAAATGAGAAACAAGTAGGCAGGGAGGGCAAGGGGGCGGGGGCGGGCAGTGGACGGGAGGGGGTGAAACCAGTTAGGGGAATGTCCCAGGGGGGGACGAGAGGGGTCACAAACGCCTTGGGGTCCTGTGGGGGTTCATAAAGCAGAATGCACTTCCCGCCTGTCAAGACGTCCAGCCCCCGCGCGCCGCCGCGTCCGTGCAGATCAAGACGCCCTCCGCTGCCTTTCGGAAGGCTGCGATCGCTGCATCGCGCTTAGACTGGTTGGGGGGGAACGGTGGGGAAAGGAGGGGCGGGGTAGGGGTGGTGGGCGGCAGCAACGAGGGCAGGATGAGGGGTTGGGCACGGCAGGGGGACGAAGAAAATGTGGGGAAGGTATAAGGTGATGCGGGGAGAGAGAGTGGGGGAGAGGGCAGGAGGGGAGCAGGGGAAAGGGGAGTGGGGGAGTGGGTAAGTGAGGGAGTGGAGGAGAGGGGAAGGAGGGGGAGAGGGGGGCTTAGGAGCGGGGAGGAGACAGGACAAGTTTGGCAGGTTGGTTGAGCGACTTGGGCCAAATGGGGTGGTTGTATTCAACCATCTCAAACCACTTAAACCATTCCAAACCACCTTAAACCATTTTCTTAAACCATCTTAAACCATCTTAAACCGTCTTTTACCATCTTAAACCATCTCAAACCATCTTAAATCATCTTAAACCATCTTCAACCATCTTCAAGCATGTCATAATGAATGAGGTGTACAAGCATGGTACCTGTTTGAGTTTGCCGTGCAGGGGGAAGAAGGCGATGCCCTTGAGCGGGGTGAGCAGGGGCAGCACGGAGCCCCAGTAGTCCACACATGCACAGGTCATGACGAAGCTGGGGCCACGAGAGGGGAGAGAGGGAGAGAGGGAGAGAGGGAGAGGGGGAGAGAGGGAGAGAGGGAGAGAGGGAGAGGGGGGAGGGAGCGGGAGAGGGGGGGAGGGAGAAAGAGAGAGTAAGGATAACTGGAAAGGGGGGAGTGGGATGTGGAGGAAATACATTAGAAGTCAGTTGAATGGACACCGCTTGGTCTGCAAGGAGTTAGAGTGATGAGTGAGGGTGAACGAGAGAGTGAGTGTAGGCCAAGCCGGTGTGGAGCAAAAAGGGAGGGAGAGTGGAATGTGGGGGCAACGGCTTCGCGAAGAGGCCAGGATGATCCCACTTACAGCATGACTTTGCGATCCGGGTGCTGACTCAGCCAGTGCACAAGCTGACTGGACTTGCTGCGAGCGCCATCGCACACTATGGCCTGGGATACGGGGGACGAGGAGGACGGGGGGGGGGAAGGGGGGGAAAGAGGGGGGGGGGCATGCATCCGTTGTCAAGTCCACGGAAAGGCGAGTGCAAGACAAGGGGTTTACAGGAGAGAATTCCGAACAACTAAACCCCTGAAGCAGAGCCCATTTCGTGGTTCCTTAGCTCAGCCCTTGTCAGAGTGAGAAACGGACAAGATTGTCAGAGTGAGAAACGGACAAGATTGTCAGAGTGAGAAACGGACAAGATTGTCAGAGTGAGAACCACGAAACTTTACAGATTGCCGAAAGTTTCGTGGTTCTCACTCTCTCCCACCCACCCACCCCCCCATTCTCCCCTCCTCTCCCATCCCATCCCTCCAGTCTGTGCTAGCTTTTTGGAAAGTTTTTGGGACTTCTTAAAACCCGAACACATCATTCTCCCCTCATCTCCCGTTGCTGTAGGTGGTCTTTCTAGAATTCTCCAAAACCACCTACACATTCTCCCCTCCTCTCCTATCCCTCCGGTCCTCCACCATCCCCTCCTCACATCCTTCCACACTCCCTCTGCTCCCCCCTTCCCCCCACTCCCCCCCCCCTCTTCCCCCTTCCCCCCCCTTTTTCCCCCTTCCCCCCCCTCACCTGCACTTGGAGCCCCACTGGGATCTTCATTGCGCCAGCCTTCTCCGTACCCACGCCACTACCCCCATCCCCGCCTTCCGCTGCGCCCCTTCCCGCTGCTGCTTCCCCTTCCGCCATCCCCTGCGCGCTCCCTCCCCCTGGCGCAGCACCACCAGCACCAGCGCCAGCAGTTTCCCCCGCTCCCCCCGCGCCCGTGCGCGCCAGCGAGCGCACTTCCACGCGTACGGGGTTGCGCATGCCCGCGAGCGCGAGCTCCTGTAGCGCGGAAGTTTGCGTGGCGGAGAAGAGCCCCGTGCGGCGCTGACGTGGCAGGCGGTGCAGGATGGACTCGAGGCACGCCGCGAAGCCCAGGTCGAGCAGGCGGTCCGCCTCGTCCAGAATAAGGACCTGGGGGGGAAAGGAAGAGAAGAGCGGGAAGGGGAGGGGGAAGGGGACGGGGAGGGCGGGGAGGAGGGGGAGGAGGGGGTGGAGTGCTGTGGGGGAGTGGCGGGAGAAGAGGAAGCGACGAGGGCGGAGAAGCCCAGGGCGAGCTGACGGTCCGCCTCGTCCAGAATAAAGACCTGGGGGAGAGGGAGAGGGGGGGAGGAGAGCGGGAAGGGGAGGGGGAAGGAGAGGGCGGGGAGGAAGAGACGGATGGAGTGCTGTGTGGGGGAGGCGGAGGGAGAAGAGGAAGGCACGAGGCGGAGAAGTCCTGGGCGAGTAGGTGGTCCGCCTCGTCCGGGATGAGCGCCTTGGGGGAGGGAGAAGGGAAGGGGAAGCGGAAGGAAGGGGGGGGGGGGGGGGGGGGGGGGGGGGAAGAGCGTGTGCGCGAGGGGGAGGGGGAGAGGAGGGCGGGGGGGGAGGGTTATGGGGGTCAATGGCGCGGATACTGGGTTCACCAGAGGTAGACGCTCTAACCGCCAAACTTTTACCGCTCTTACCTCCAGCGTTCTTAAATCGAGCCCGCAGTTAGGCCGCGATAGCACGTCGTCTATCCTCCCCGGCGTGCCTATAATCACATTCGCCCCGTCCTCGGAAATGCGCGCCACGTCCACCCCGACGGCGTGCCCCCCCGTTAGAAGCACGCAGCGCAGGGAGGGCAGCGCGGCGGAGAGGAACGGCTCCGCCACGGCTTGGATTTGCGCCGCCAGCTCGCGCGTGGGGGAAATAATCAGCGCGCCCACCTGGGGGTGCGAGAAGGGGGGCGGGGGGAATGGGGTGGGCGGGGGGGAAAGGACGAGGGGGGTTAGGGCGGGGAAGGGATGAGAATTGAGCGGCAAGCAGAAATTATTGGAAAAAAGGAGAAGGAAAAGGGAAAGGGTGGGAAAGAGGGACGAGGAGGCGATGGGGAAAATGGCAATGGCTCGCGGGGAAGGTAATGGGCGGGTTTTAAGCGGGTGGGGGAGAGGGGGAGAGGGAGGGTGGGGAGGGGAGGAGGGGGGGGGAGGGTTTAGTCGAGCGGCGTTTCACAGGCCCCGGTGTTTTTGGATTCTGGGCCGCGGCATGCAGCTGGAACTTATTTTTGAGGCGCCTCAAAACTATACTCCTTACAAACTTATGCGCCGCGGCAAGCACCTGGAACTTCTTCAGCGACGACGCCACTCGCCGGAGAATCTCCGCCACGGGCAGCACGAACGCCAAAGTTTTCCCGCTGCCCGTGACCGCCTCCGCCGCGACGTCTTTATTCCCGCACAGCAGCGGCACGCACGCCGCCTGCACCGGCGTCGCGAACTCGAACCCGAAGCGCCCCAGCACCGACAGGGTTTCCGCGCAGAGCGGGGGGCGCAGATCCGCGAAGCGCACCGTGCTCACCGCCAGCGGCGGCGCCGGCGCCGGCGGGGCTTGCGCGGGCTGCTCCGTCTCCGGCGCAGCATCCGGCGGGGATGGAGGGGGATGGGCTTTGCGCTTCGACTTGGAAGATTTTGGCGCCATTCTGGCTCCGCTGAGAACGCCCTCCTTAAATTACTCCTACAGACAGGATACCTCCTCGAAAGCAGCCCCTCCTCGGGATTGTCGTCCTCTTGGTCTTTAATGTCACTGTTGTGAGGAGCGTGCGTGTAGAGGCCTGGAGTAAGAGGGCCGATGTGGTTGTGAGGCAAAGCGGGCTTGAGGTGCGGGGATTGAATTGTGTTGTGTGCCAGTCTCCTATGGAAGAAGGAACCAGAAAGGTCTGTCTCCTTAGTCCAGGGCTTTATCAGGGTTTTTCCAAGGGTTCAGAAGGTTTGTTTCATGGGAGTTTGTGGTGGCGTTTTGGATGTGTCGTCGTGAGGGTTTGTTTCCGACTGACGTGCCTCGCCCGAGTCGCAATTACTGTACCATTAATAATGTACAGTGCAACTATTACACAATCATCTGGCGAGAAGAACGCTGACAACTCGTTTCTGTCACATGGTGCTCAATTCCAGTCGAGACTCTAGAGAGAGACGCCCCTGCCAGATATCCTTCCCGCCCCAGTTCGGCTGCACCAATCTCGGGTTCAGCAAACACCCACATCACATCCCACCCAACCAACCAGCAGACCAGCCCAGCATTACGGCAACCCAGCAAGCAAAAAATATCTTACTGTACTGTGCTAGGGAAAATCCATCCTCGATGTGAACATTCAGTCAGAGCTTTTGAGCCATTCGGCCATTCCGCCCCGCCTCCATTCAGCCAAGTGCATTAAGCCGCATTTTCCTGCCAGGTGGGCTTCGCCGCGGCGCCACCATCTCGGTTCTCTCGACTGAAGCATATCGTATCATATCCTTCCCTCCTCCGTACGTCGTCTTCTACTCTCCCCCCTCGCCGATCGTTATGGCGCGCGCATTGTCCGCGCAGTCCTGCCTCCTCTCCGCCTCCGCGCATCCGCTTCTCCCCCCGCAACGCTCCGCCTCTTTTCTCCGCCAGCCCAGCGCTACCGCAGGGCTTGCGCCCAGCTCGTCCGCCGTCATTCCCGCTCTAGCCGCTGTTTCCGGCGGCGCATCGCCTGCCGTCAGCAGCCAGGGCGGGCGGTTTATGGCGCGCAAACGCGCTGCGGGTGCGATCCGTGGTCGCCGCGCGGTATGCCGAGCGGAGAAGGCGGAGTCGAGTAACGCGACGGCGGCGCCGGGAGACGGCGACGCAAGCGGTAAGATCTTGATGTGGTGTTGTCAGGAGTTGCGCCGCTAACTCCCGCCACGTGTTTCAAAGTCCACGTAGAGAGAAAATTAAGAACAATGTTCCTCGCTGGGAAGTAACCTCGCTCAAGTGAACGCTATCTCCGCAATCACCCATTTGGTCTCCCCCACTTTCCCCTCTCGCTCGCTGTTTCCCGACCTTTCCCCCATCCTTCCCGCGGCCTTCCCCCCGACCTTCCCCCGATCTTCCCCCGACCTTCCCCCGACCTTTCCCCCGACCTTCCCCCCGGCATTCTCCGCCACCCCTGCCTTTCCCCGAGCAGCCGAGCCCCTGTCCGTGCTGGTCGTGGGCGGCGGCGGGCGCGAGCACGCGCTCTGCTACGCGCTGCGCCGCTCGCCCTCCACGGCGCACGTGTACTGCGCGCCGGGAAACGCGGGCATCGCCCTGTCAGGCGACGCCACGTGTCTCCCTTCCCTGGATATCCGCAGCAGCAGCAGCGTGATCCAGTTCTGCCGCGAGAACCGCGTGGGGCTCGTCGTAGTCGGGCCCGAAGCGCCCTTAGTGTCCGGACTAGTAGACGACTTAACGGAGAATAAGATTCCCGCGTTCGGGCCGACGCAGGGCGCGGCGCAACTGGAGGGGTCTAAGGGGTTTATGAAGCGGATCTGCGATAAGTACGGCATCCCCACCGCCAAGGTGCGCGCGTGGACGAGAGGGGGGTGGTGAGAGGGGGTGGTGAGAGGGGGGTGGTGAGAGGGGGGTGGTGAGAGGGGGGTGAGGGGGGGTCGAGAGGGGGTGTGAGAGAGTGGGTGGGAGAGTGGGTGGGAGAGTGGGTGTGAGGGAGTGGTCTGGGTGAAGGGTTTAAGGACTGGGCTACTCACTCCTTAATCCCAACGGCCCAGGTTCGCGGGTTGGCGAGAGGGGGGCTGGGGGGATGGGGCGTGAAGGGTTTAAGGGCTCATTGACCCACCATCTCAGAAGTCAGTCTATGTCTCCCCCGTTTCCTCCCCAACCCACCTCCTCTTCCCCCCTCTAACTCTCCCTCGCTCTCGAGACCTCTAGCCCTCTCCCCCACCACCCCTCTTTCCCTCCCCGTCTTGCCATCTTTCCCCCATCCTCAGTACGACAGTATCTCCCCCTCCTCCTGCTTGAGGAGTCTATTTTTTAGGCGCCTCAAAAATAGACTCCTGCTTCCCATCACTCAGTATTTCCCCTTCCTGCCTCCGCTCCCCTGCCCGCTCCCTCCCTCCGCGCACCCATCTCCCTGTGAGTCCATCCCCGCTCGCATCCCTTCTTTCGACCCCCCCCCGAATCATTTCCAACAAGCAGTCGCACCACCCGCCTCCTCTCCCCTCTCCTCCCTCCTCCCCCCTCACCTCCCCCGTCCCCCCCCAAACGGTTGCAGCACGCGTCGTTCACGGACCCCGCGAAGGCGAAAGACTACATCCGCGAGCAGGGCGTGCCGATTGTGGTGAAGGCGGACGGGCTTGCAGCAGGCAAGGGAGTGGTAGTCGCCACAGCCATAGAAGAAGCCGAGGCGGCCGTGACGCGCATGCTCGTGGATGGGGAATTCGGTTCCGCGGGCGGTCAGGTACTCATCGAGGAGTTTCTCACCGGCGAAGAGGCGTCCTTCTTTGCTGTCGTCGACGGGGCCTCTGCCGTGCCGCTCGCGTCGGCGCAGGACCACAAGCCCGTGGGGGAGGGCGACACGGGGCCGAACACGGGCGGCATGGGAGCGTACTCCCCCGCGCCCGTGGTGACCCCCGCGGTAGAGCGGTTTGTGATGGAGCGGATCATTGCGCCCACGGTGGCAGGGATGAAGGCGGAGGGGCTGCCTTTCACAGGCGTGCTGTATGCTGGACTCATGGTGGATACGAGCGCGGGGACGGCTAAGCTGCTGGAGTATAATGTCCGGTTCGGCGACCCCGAGTGCCAGGTGCGGGGGGGTGGGGGATGGGGAAGGGGACGAGAGGGGGAGGGGGGGGAGATGGGGAGTGGGATGGGTTGGGTGATGGGGAAGTGGAGTGAGAGGGGAAAGAGAGGAAGAAATGGTGGTGTTGGGGGGGGAGGGGAGGGGGGTGGGGTGGGGGGGTGAAGTGATGTCCCCGGGGCGGTGAAGCGATGTCCCCTCTGCACCTGCATCATGCCATTGCAAATATACCATCCCATCCCATTCATGCTCACGTTTCATTTCACGCATGCCCTTCCGAACCATTCCGCTGAGCTCCTAAGGGCCTTCTCTTCCACCTTCTCCTCCCCCATCCACCCACCCTTCCCCCAGCACCACCCCCCCTCTCCCACTCAATACGTTCTCGCTCCCCGTCCTCTCTTCTCCTTCCCCCCCCTGCTCCCCCGTTCCCCCTGCTCCCCTCTCCCCCTCCCAGGTGCTGATGAAGCGCCTGGAGTCGGACCTCTCCCAGCTGCTCCTCTCCGCCTGCCGCGGCACCCTCAGCGCCCACCCCCCCCTGCAATGGACAACCGACGCCGCCCTTGTGGTCGTGCTCGCCGCCAAGGGCTACCCGGGAGCGTATGAGTCCGGCACTCCGATCCACGGCCTGGCTGCTGCTGCAGCCACAGACCCCCGAGTAACCATTTTCCATGCGGGGACAAAGCTCAAGGCAGCAGAGGCAGCAGGTGGAGCAGCAACGGCTGCGGCGGCAGGAGGGGCGGCGGAGGAAAGAACGCCTGGGGCCCTGGGTGAGGCCGAGAAGGCGGTGAAAGAGGGGAGGGAGGGGCAGATTGTGGCTGCTGGGGGGAGGGTGCTGGGTGTGACGGCGCTGGGAGGGAGTGTGGGTGAGGCGCAGGCTGTGGCGTATAGAGCAGTGGATAAGGTGGAGTGGAAGGAGGGGTTTTGCCGGCGGGATATTGGGTGGCGGGCTGTGGAGCGGGAGAGGCAGCAGAAGTAGGTTGGGGGGGGAAGAGGGTGCTGCTCTGGGTGCTGTTATGGGCTTCTGGTTACAAGTGTCGCGATGGGGGATGTTGTGTTAGAATGCAAGAATGAATGACTAGTGTGAGAAACCTAGAACATATACCTGTTGGGTTGTACTCACTAGAAGCACACACCTAGGCTAGCCTATAACTTCTACATTCATAATATGTATAAGTTGACACACCCCCTAGCAGGGCTGTCGTTATCAGGGTATTTTACCCTGATTCCCTGATTTCACGGTATTTTTTTGGCCAACCCTTAATTTTCAGGGTTGGGTTTTTTTGAACCCTAACCTCTTCAGGGTTGTATGTTTGAGAACACTGAAAATTTCAGGGTTTGCGTTATCCCAACACTGAGTTTTCAGGGAGTAACGCGTACGAACCCTGAATGCGGCATCCATGCGGACCCTGAGTTTCCTCGAAATGGCCCCCTTACGCGTGACGGGGCCCAGTCCATTCAACACGCCCAGCATGCGTCACGTGGGGAATCTGCACTCGGCAAGATTCCCGCCGTGAACACGCTGTATGTTGCCATTACAGCAACATTTGCAACCGTCAACTGGCATTCGTTACTCAGCACGCAGCAGACGAGGACAGAATATGATGAGCGCGGCAATGTCAGCCTCTGTATGACATCACCCCGACAATCATCTCTGTGCAGACGATGCCAGCGCAGGTGCGTCTCGCCGTTGACGTTATTGCCATGGCAATACGGGAACCTGGATGGGTTATGCACCATCCACGAAAATCGAAAGATGGTGCTTCTTGGTCCTCTTCCCGTCTTCTTCACCAGCTCCTCCTCCAACCCAGTTTTTTTCTGTTCTTCACGTCACAGCTACAAGATGCTCCAGTCTTCTGTCTCCTCTAGTTTCGTCGCGCCGATTTCTCATTTCCATCATATCCGCCGCTTCTAGCCATGGCGGATGTAGGAGACTCTCGTGAGTCTCCCACTGCCGATGATGGTTCTGGACTAGGTAGGGACCCCCCCGTGGAGGTCCGTAGATCCGCTCTAGACATCTTGCGGTCTCCCACCGCAGTCGTTACACCATCACAACCCGTATCTACTCCCGCCGCTCCCTATGTACCTCCGCCCGCTGTCGCCTCATCTAGCCGGGGCCCTTTGGTTCCAGACTGCGAGACAGCCACGACCGTGCGTTACACGGTCGAGTGTGCGTCGACGATTTCATCTGGGAAGAAAGCACGCGTCGGAAAGTACACCCAGAGCACGATAGTCCTCGGCGGGAAGCTACATCGACGGTCGCCGCCTCGCACGTCGCCTGAACCTCAGGCCCCTGGTATTCCAGAACCCGAGCCGCCAAATCTCTCAAAGAAGGAACTCATCGAGCAGAAGTATCTCATGGCTGAGCACAAGTATAAGACCAGCTGGCTTCCATTTTTCCCTTGGCTTCTGCTAACGAAAACGAAAGACGGTTACCCTGCTTTGAAGTGCAGTGTGTGCAAGGCTTTCGGCAAAGAGACAACACCGTACTCCAACAGCCGCGACGGGGCACGTGACCTGCAGACGCAAGCGATGCGGTTCCACAAACACACAACAGCCCACGAAGTAGCAGTCAAGCGTCAGATGGAGATCGCCGAAGACATCGCCAGCACCCAGAGACGCATGGAGAATTACGCGCGGACTGACATCGAGGGGAAGCGTGTCATGAGGCTCCTACGCTGCGTCGACTTCCTGTGCAAGTGTGATGCACCCATCAGCATGTACCCGAGGCTACTCCGCTTCATGGCCGAGCAGGAGACACCGGACATTCCGCTGCAGTCTTACGGAGTCTACCTGACACGGTAATGCACTTCTTCATGTTCGAAGAAGTACACCATGTTCTTCATTTTTCATAAAGGTCTAACCAACACCCTACTGTCACTTCTGCTACTACAGGTATGGCTTCTGTCAGCTCGTCAGCAGCCTCGCAACCTACCTGCAGCGCCGACAAATGCAATACATTCTCGCCTCACCCTACCTCGGCATCAGCTGCGACGAGAGCACTGACTGTACTCGCGGTAAACATCTTATTGTTTATCTGACCTTCTTGCGTGCGCATCGTGTTGTTACAGAGTTTTTTGCTCTCCTGACCGTCGAAAAGTGCGATGCCGCGTCTCTCCTCGCCGTTTTTCTGGCTCACTTGCGAGCAACTGGCATCGACCTCTCCCGAATCACCGGCATGAGCACCGACGGCGCCTCTGTCATGGTCGGCCGAGACAATGGTCTCGTCGCCCGACTTCGCGAGCACATCCCCCACCTCGTCTCGTCGCACTGCATCGCCCACAGGTTCAACCGCTTGTCATTTCAGTCGCTTAGAGTTCCTACAACTGCTTGTCTGAAATTCCTTCGTGTGCACCATGCAGGGAAGCCTTGGCGGTGAAGGACGCGGCCACTGCTTCTCCAGACTTTGACATGGTCGACCTTGTGATTCGGACTCTGGCCAATCTTCTGGGACGTTCCTGTGTCTGGAGTCAACGCTTCAAGTACCTGCAGCGGGCAATACACAACACCAATCTTGAAGTGCAAGGAATTCACACCGTGCGCTGGCTTTCAAGGGGTGAGGCTGTGAGGCGCCTCTGTAAGGTCCTTGGCGCCGCTATCATTCTCTTTTATGAGTACGGGCATGAGCTGTATGAGGTCGTCATCTGTTACAAGTTCCAGTTATGTCTTTTTTTCCTGGCGGACGTGCTCGGAGTGATGAATAAGCTCAACCTCAAATTCCAGAAGAGGGAGGTGAGCTTCTATCCCTGTTAATGTTGTAGTTTTTGTCCCATGCATCCACCTTTGGAATCACCCTCTGACTCCACTCCCTTGTCTGTCACTTCCATCAGGTCGATGTCACCGAAGTGACAAAGGACATCGACGAGGCGACAGGGGACCTCCGCCACCGCTACTTGGAGTGCGGAGAGGTGTTCGGTGGGGGTGTCGAAGGCACGTGGCTTTCGGCTTTCTTGGCGGTCTACGGGCGCGGAGGGGGAAAACGCGTAAAGGTGCGGGGCATTGACAAAGACGGCAACCCAGTCACGCACACCTACACCATGCACGAGAAGCAGATCGACGGGCATGCCTTCCGCAGCAAGTACCCCGATTGCGAGCGGCTCTGCGCGCAGTTCGCGAAGGACACGATAAGCTTCCTGAAGACGAGGATGCTGGACCTGAACAATCTCGGCCCGACGAAGCTCTTCCGCGTGTCGAAGTGGCCCCGGATGAAGCAGCAGAGAGAGAAGAAGCTGAAGGAGTACCTACATGGCTGCAGTGCCTTGTTCGAGAACAGGCTGACAGGCTTTTCCTTGCAAGCTGCGCAGAAGGAGCTGGTCACGTCGGCGCCACTGATGCTGAGCCACCATGCCGACGAGGGATTCCATCAAGGCCTGACGAACTACCTCGGCTCGACGGAGTTGACCTTGTGAGAGAGTGCTGCTCGAAGGACGATTGTTGCATTTTTTTTTTGAGCTTTTATTCTTCCCTTTGGATGTTGTTTATCGATTGTTGACTAGCATCGCTAATGCACTGGTCTTGTTCCGTATACTCTATTCCCCCAACCCTTTTGGCAGTCGCTGGCCCAACCTCATGCGCTTGTGGCAGGCGTGCGCTATCCTGCCGCTGAGCACAGTAGAGTGTGAACGTGGCTTCTCGCGGCAGAACGTCGTCAAGTCATGGGTGCGGGGCGCGTTGTGCAATGCGCGCCTCAGCGAGCTGATGGTCATTTCCCTGCTGCAGTACGAGACTGACTGGGACGAGGCCCTTGAGTGTTGGCGCGAGAAGCTGAGGCGCCCTGCTAAGTCTGTTCTGTTTGCCGCAGCGGAGAGGAAGCGTAAGGCGAAGGCGATTGAGGGGGCAGAAGTGAGGGTGGAGGAGGAGGCAGTCCCCGACTACATGGGGGATTGGGCAGAGGATGAGGGAGAGGGGGAGGGGGGAGTGGGGGGAGAGGCTCCTCCTGAAGTGGAAGACAACCCGTTTCTGTCCGATGACGAGGCAGAAGACGAAGTGAACATGGATGGCCCAGAATTTTAGTCAAGTGTAGGTAGTGGCGTGGAATCTTGTGAAGTCTAGACTAGATAGAGGACTTGTAAACTGGCGTGGTGTAGTGGTGCTTTTACTTAACTAGTAACTGTACATTCCTAGTTGATTTTTTCCAAGTGCAATGCAACCCTGATTGTTGATAGCCAACCCTGGAGATTTCAGGGTTGTAGGTTCCAGAACACTGAGAAATCAGGGAAGTCAAAATTCCAACACTTGGCCCTCAGGGTAAATTTTTTTCCACATTCGACAGCTCACGGTGCTATTTTTTGAAACGTCAGCCCAGCCCCCTAGGCTAGAGAAGGGGTGGTGCTAAGGAAGAAGCACACAGCTCAAGGTGGCACTACTAGTCCAACCATTGAGGCAGGGGTCCAGAGACCAGTCAGCAAGAGTACAAACAAGGCTAAAGCAAACCAGGGTGGCACTACTAGTCCAGCTACTGGAGGCAAGGCCACAAGGCCAGCCAGACAGGTATATATACCGTATTCCCCCGTATATAACACCCTAGGGTATTGTAAAAAATTCATTAAAATAACGAAGGGGTGTTAACAGTAGGCTGGAAAAATATAACGCCCATGTCTTATGTATAATGCAAAATGAATTTGGGGCGTAACACGCAGAAATACATGCACAGTACAGGATGACACCTTAAGCGAGGTTTGGATGACGATTCCCAACCTCCACTCGGGCCAGCCTGGCGATAACGTCATGACGTGCTGCATTTGCAGCCAATCCGAGGAAGCCGGTCCTGCCAGCACAAGAGGAAAGCGGCCTCCTGCAAGTGACAAGATTTCATCGACGGCTATGAATCCCGGGTTTTTACAACGTAACAGAAGTGCGCGACCAGATTCCTTTATGGAATCTTCTTGATGGGACCAGCATGCATGGTCCCATCGCTTCTTGCAGAGCCGTGCACGCTTCGGCTTGGGGCGTCGGCCACGGTTCTTCTCCAACCTTCTCTTGCCTCATTGTCATTCTTGCTCCTCGCTCCTCTCAGCCTCAATCAAATTCTTCGCAATGCCCGAGCTCTCTAACAGAGGCTCGGGCATTGAACAATCTCGCCTAGCTCGCTATCCCTCGTCAAAATTTTCCCCCATGGCCGCTCGAGCAGTTAATGGTGTGTCACTTTTGCGAGCTCATCGCCCACCCTTCGGGAATCAGACATTGCTCCGTCTTTTCCCACCAGATCCTTTGGCTCCTAGACATCCGCCTGCATCTCCCG